GCGGGGAACTCTGCAAAAAACGCATCTTCGCACGGGCAGCCCGTGCGTTGGCCATTTATTTAATTACTAGTCCAAGGACTTGTAGCCAGCTGTAACATCTTTGTGACACTGCCTTTGACTTCAGGACTAATTCGCATTAATGTATAACCAGAAGGTGGAAAAATTATTAGGTCAAAGGGTCAAGAATTCACTTCGTCATGCAAGGTGTCATATTACTAGTCTTACTCTAGCTGATAAGGACGAGAGCCGGTTAACCTTAAGGGTGCCCAAAAGGGAAGTGAGGAAACACACTTTTTCCAGTGTGTAATTAGTGGATTCCGTTGACGCTTAATATAGGTGATCACTTACTGTTTCTGTTTTAGGGCTTTCCCTCATGCAGTTTTTATGCGCTTTTGCTGTGCAGCGCTCTAGCGCTGTTACAGCCAGCAAAAACGCATATTGTCGAGAGACTGTCTGTGTGTGTTTGTGTTCAGAAGCGAGTGCAATTTATCAGCCACTTTCATCTCAGCAATCAGGAAAGCTGGGAGGTTAAAACTTTGGGAATATGTTCCTAGCCCATGTGTCACCTTCCCGTTTCAAGATATTCCCCTACACGCGCCTAGACCCCGCGTACGGGCCCCTCAAAAAAGTGTGCAAATTTTTTTGGCGGGAAAAGATTTCGCGAACCAGGCAAGGCACAAAGCTTTGCAGGGATATTCCCAATGCACGTTCGAGCTAAAGATTTTAAACTCAGCTGTCGAGCGCGCATGCGAAGCTCGTACGATCACGTCAAAGTTGCGACTTGCTGCTGTGCTAATTCGAAAATTTGCTGGAAAATAGTGACTGAAATTTTGTCAGGACGTTTGACTCCCATACAGGGAACCGTATACCTAAAATGAGTACCGAATTATATTTACGCCACAACTTATGGCACTTCAAAGATATTTGTAGCGAAGTGGATATTTCGCCTACCGGATAAGCTGCAAGGCTGAAAATTCGCTCAAATATTCTCTTTTCAAGTGCGGTCTTAATTCTGCTTGGGGGTGGAATTCCCCGTTGATAGGCACGAGAAATACTTAACTTTGCCGGAAAATCAGAAACGAGTGCGTTTTGCAGCGAACGACCGCCCTCACCTAAATATGTTAATGAACATTAGTTCGTTTGCATAAGTGGATTTTTTGACAAACCATCGCTCGTAATACTTCCGCTTTTTAGTGAACTGGAAATTTGAATTTTTTCAAAAAATTTGCATATTTCATTTTTTTACAAAGCGAGCAATACCGAAAAAACGACTGGACTTCATATAAAAAACTGGTAATCATGCATCTGGATACCCGTGCGGGCTTATAATGTACCACCTTTATCCCAACCAATGCCCTTCCTCCTGCATGCCGGAAGAGGCCAAAGCACGGCCAATGTGAGCCCAAGTGTTACGCCACAGCGTAAAGGTCATGCCTGCTAATAGCGATCTGTGAGTTAGCGATGATTTCCCTTTTCAGCACGTTGGATATCGAGCCTAACAGCAACTTTCTCAAAAATATCCTTTGTGTTTACCTTCTAGAGGCCTACAGGAATATGAATGTACAACGACACGTTTGCAATAAAACAACACCGTTTTTCTCACGTAAATCCAGATGAATTTACTAGCAAAATGAAATGGAAGTGCAATGAATCGACTGTGCTGTGTGATACCAAACATGTCCCACAAATCCACACGCAGCCATCGTACACACCAATTGCAGCTGGTATGCACACCACACGCAGTCCCCATTCAAGCCACGCGTAGTC